ATATATATATATATATATATATATATATATATAGGAACGTAATCCTATTGTACCCCCGGTTTAAATTAACTCTATGAACTTAATTAACTTCATTAACTTAAATTAACTTCATCCCCTATTCAAGTTCTTTAAATGTCTCCTCGATATTAATTTTACATTATGGCTATGAAAGTAAGCCATCATCCCCTATTCATGTTCTTCAAATATCCACTCATTGTCATTTCAAATGAAAAAATAAAAATTAATAACGATAACGGAATTAACCAAAGCAAAAGAGGAGTTAAAATGATTTAAAAGCCGCTAATTCGTCGTCGAATTTCTTGACAGGTAGTAAGTTTTGTCTGTAAAAAACGTGTTAAATAGCATCTAAGAAAAAAACATACTGAAAATCTTTATTTGTCTTGCACTTGAGTCGATTTGAATAACATTATAGAAGCTTATAGGCTGGTCCAATGTCTCTCTCGTTGCAGGTATTGGTTTTGCTTTAGCCAACACTCTCTACCGAGTGACCGTAAATCAGTACTTCAAGAAGTATCGTGCCACTGCTTCTGGCATCGCATTATCGGGAGCCAGTTTTGGCAGTCTCGGCTTCCCTTTCTTAATAGATTTCATCTTGAATAATTTCACTCTTCCTGGAACTTTTCTGATCTTAGCTGGTATAACTCTGCATGTTTTGCCATTCAGCCTTCTTTTGAAAACTCCATTCTGGATACAATACCCCAAGAGGCATAAGAGATTAGGTAAGCTTGACTTTCAACACTGTGTTTTATAAATTACTCAGTAGAAGTAGTACCCATCTATAGAAACTGATTTTATCTGTTCTAATAAATGGAATCTAAAATGTTTAAATTATAGTGACGCATAATGGAGAATCAAATGCTACTCATTTTTTTTCCAGTTGAAGCCCTCCAAAGGAAAAAGGAAAGGGAACGTCAACAGGAGTTGATAGATGTACAGGAAGATGAAACAGAGATGACAAGTGAGATTAGTACGATCCCAGCGTCTTTTCTCTCCGACGTTCCACTTGAAACCGTACAATTTAAGTCTTTGAAAGATCCGCATCCACTGGATCTGAGAAAATTTAGAAGTTTTGGAAGCGGATTGTCACAACACTTGGATAACCAGGATCCTGGTGATGGTGAAAGCGAAGAGCAAAGTAGGCTTAAAGAATTAGAACTGATTTTATCTATTCTAATAAGTAGAATCTAAAATGTTTAAATTATAGTGACACATAATGGAGAATCAAATGTTACTCATTTTTTTTTCCAGTTGAAGCCCTTCAAAGGAAAAAAGAAGAGGAACGTCAACAGGAGTTGATAGATGTACCAGAAGATGAAACAGAGATGACAAGTGAGATCAGTACGATCCCAGCGTCTTTTCTCTCCGACGTTCCACTTGAACCCGTACAACTTAAGTCTTTGAAAGATCCACTGGATCTGAGGAAATTTTCAAGTTTTGGAAGCGGATTGTCACGACACTTGGATAACCAGGATCCTGGTGGTGGCGAAAGCGAAGAGCAAAGTAGGCTCAAAGAACTAGAAGAAACTCTGGACTTGTTTCATCAAGCGCCTGATTCAGATGACGTAAGAGAAAATATTTAAGTTTATTTTTTGAAAATCAGCAGAGAATTAATACATTTTACGGTACTTACAGGCTGGGGCTTCTCTTCTAATAAATTAATGATTTTATTCTCATATTTCAAAACATTTCTAACTTCTTTGCAATCGTTTTCTCGTCTTCCATTGCTTGTTTATGAGTGCATATCTAAACAAATTGACTTTATTCGAAATCTAAGAGGAAACATTGAGATGTTTAAGGTTGTTTTTGAAAAGTTGCGTCGTCCCGATGAAACGATGCTATTTTGCGAATAATATGCTATTTTTCATAACTGCTATAAGTTTGCAACACTTACTCACGACTGTTTGGTCAGGTTTAGCCTATTTATAGCCAATGCTCTCTATGCTTATTCTGAAAATAGTGTAAAACGTCGGTATGGAGAAAAGCCCCAATTTTCTGAAAATAAAAAGTGTTTTTAGTTAAAATGTCTAATATTTAAAAGTTTACTCTCCTATTCCGCATTATTAAATAGCTCATAAAAATTTGCAAAAACTGAGAATGAAGGAATGGTTTTGAGAATTGGCGATTTTTAAAAAGGTTTAATGAATTTAAAATATTTAAGTTGTTTGTCTGTTCTAAGGCCCAGATAATTCTTCGAAACAAGATGGTACATGTAGTTTAAAATTATAGCTTTATTTCAAATGAGTTGCACTTGAAATGTAACTTTCTTTTTTATTTTCCTTGGCGAAAGAGTTTCGAAAAAGCCATGTTAAAATAAAAAGGAAAAATAAGTGGGGAAGATTATCAGCCAAAAGTAATAAAAAAGTATAGAAAGAATTTTTTTAAACTTATTTTTTGTGACAAGGTTCTCAAGAGTTTTTTAAATTTATAACAGTGGTAACAGAGTTATGGTGCTATTATAGGATAAAATTAACATTAGCCATTGGCCTAAAGGAGACTAAATACAAAAAAATGGCGATTAAAAGTTTTTTTTATCAATAGCCACCATTTTCACCGAAAATGATTTCAAACGCGTGGATTTAACTTCTCGTATTTTCTATTACATGCGAAAGTTGTAATATTCAGATTATTTTATGCTGGTTCAAAATTTCAGGGGGACTGAATTTAGTTATCAAACGTTTCCTTCAAACTAAATCCAGTTCATTATTGTTATTTAACTCATTATTATTATCCATTGTTGAATCCATCCATTGTTGGGCAGCATAGAAAAGTTTTATAAAAAAAATAATTTTTCCTGTAGCTACCATATTTTTCTTTATGATTTCTACGAGGAAAAATGTACTACTCTAATATTTCTACTCTAATGCCTCAACTCTAGACAGTTTTAAAGCGGAAAAATTCCCCTCACAAATGAGCGTGTTTCCTTAATTAACTTCTATAAAATCGTGTTTCTTCTATATGAATCCTTTATGTATAGAAGTATCTATCAAATCATTGACTGTTGGAAAAGTCTTAAACTCACTGTCGGGAATGCATTCCAATCAATAGGTTTGAAGTCGCTTCTATTGTATCTTGAAATATATTTGCAGCAGAACCTTGTAGACTCAAATTCAAATAAGTAATAAAGTAAGTCAAGTGGACAGTCTTACTGTCTCCGAATCTAACAAAATTAAAGTGATACAGGCAACAATTGTGACTAGCTTAAATTTGCTGTCAAAAATTTCCTCCTTGCCTTAACAGGGATTAACTACAAAGTATTTTATTCCTTAGAAAGCTTCTATAAAATCGTGTTTCTTGTATATGAATCCTTTATGCATAGAACTATCTATCAAATCATTGACTGTTGGAAAAGAATTAAACTCACTGTCGGGAATGCATTCCAATCACAATAGGTTTGAAGTCGCTTCTATTGTATCTTGAAATATATTTGCGGAAGAACCTTGTAGACTCAAATTCAGAGAATAATAATAAGTCAAGTGGGCAGCCTTTCAGTTCATGGGCCTAACAGAATAAAAGGACTATAGATACAATATACGATAAACAATTTGTGACAAGCTTAAATTTGCCGTCAGAAAACGAAACAAAAATTTCCACCTTGGCTTAACATGGATTAACTACAAAGTATTTTATTCGGAGAAATCTTAAAATTATAGTAATGCATTCTTCTTCAAGCACAAATTGAGTATTTATTAATATTAAAAGACTCAGCAAACAAATACAAAAAAATATTTTAATCACCTCAGACTTTTATTAGATAATTTATTTATATAAAAGCGAAAAGTTGGAGACATGTAAAGTTAATGACAAGGGTTGACGGACCGCAGTTAAAGACCTCTGTATTAGATGAATATAGGATTAGAATCTAAATTATGCAAGTATAGAACTATCAACACACATCAAAATGGAAAAAAAAGGGATGTTTCAAATTCTGAATGAGTATATTTTCTTCCTCAGGGTAGCTCTTCGACCTCTTCAACTGATCATCAAGAAGGCGAAATTAATTCTTCCCAATCTAGTGGCAAAACTGTGCTAACTTTCGCAACTGGTATTAAAACTGTTTTCATGCTTTACAAATATCCAATGTACGTTGTGATATGCATAGGAACCACACAGTTCCAACTTGTTCTAACTATAGTGATAGCAGTTCTAGTGGATTATGGAGTGGATAAAGGTATACCGGAATTCAACGGAAAGTATCTGATAAATTCTATGGCCATTGGAGATTTGATAGGTGAGAGAATTTTCATTGCGTATTATGTACCGTGTATTGTTTGCCATGTTTTGTATACATTTTGTATACGTTTTGTTTACCATTCAGGTAATGATTTGCAAACAGCTGAACTAATAATTTCGAGTCAACTTAATTGGCAGAGTATAAGAAGTCTGAAAAATGCAAATTGGTTGTTAAGCAGGTCTATTTTATAACCGCCGTTGAACAGCCGACCCAATTTATGGGTTTACGACCACTAATGTTCAACTACGTAACCTTGTAGCTTTGAACCCAATAAAGAAGACAAGGGAACTACTAGATCAAGTATTGGGAGAAGCTATCCCTCGTGGAGGAATTATTGATGGAACTAAACAGCATTTGCGTTACATGGAGAGGAAGACCGTGAGAACCTCTCACGGTTAGCCTGACAGAAAGGAGACTCTAACTCATGATCCGTATACCACTGAGGACATCAGCACTGTGGTCGGTGCAATCCGGATGGGGAATTCGCATCGACTGGGATTCGAACCCGGTTCACCTCATTGGAAGACGAACGCTATATCCCCTGAGACATAGCGGCTTCCCCACTGGTATTGATTTGTATGGGAAATTGGAGGACTTTAACGTGCATAAGTCAGCATTTTAATGCATGAGAATTCGCCGGCCAATCGAACTCCCATTCTCACGAACACGAGTCCAACGCCCTACCGACCAGGCTATACCGATCCTCACAGGTCTATCAATAGAAATTAAATACACAGAGGAATAAAAAGCATGAAAGACAGAGGCAACATAATTGTTCTCTTTAACGCTGATATTAATGCGTCGTTTTAAAATATAATGATTCTTTCATTTACATTTTGGTTAAAATCAAATCAATATTTTTGTCCGGAAAAATTGTTTAAATTTATTTTAAACTATTTTTGTCTGGAAAAATTGTTTAAATTTATTTTAAATCAATAACAAAGCATTTTTTTACCGTTTTTTTAATGCAAATTTTTTTGTTTTAACAAAAAAAAATACAATATTTTTATCAGTTTAACTTAAAAAGTCTCTTTCAGACAAAAAAGGAATTCTACTTCCTTTTTGTTAACTTATGGAGATTTCCATGCTCGCTATTTGGAAATGGCCTAACTTGAGATTTCAGAAAATCAAGCCTGAATTTAACTTGTTTATTGATGTTACGATATCAAATTTAACATCTTTTCAAATTACATTATTTAAAATACATAATTTAGACTTTAAACGAAAGTGGTTTAAAAATTTGAAACGACAAAAATTCAAATAATTTACTTCAGGATTTCAGTTTTTGATTGCTCAATTCAGTCAGTAATTCAGTTAAAGATTTCATCGTGATTTAGTGATTCATTTAATGGTGTAATTAGACATTCTGTAAGAGATTTTACCATATAGTTATCCACTGCGTAGTTTTGTGAGTCAGTGATTCCCTTGGGGATTTATTCATAGAATTGGCAGTTTGTTAATTCAATTACTGATTTATAGATTTAGTTATGAATCAACTGAATAAACTTAGGATTTAAATAAATAATCCCAAGAAACTGAAGCAGTAAGATAATACTTGATGAAGAACTTCATTAGCTTTAAAAGTATACAAAATGGAAATAACAGTCGACATGTTTCAAGCACTCAAAAATTGACGCCCAATTTCAAGACTGGCTAGAAGTGAATGAAAAGGGAAAGAAATTAATTGAAATAAAATCGTATAGTTTCCAAGGAAAAATGGAAAAATGAAGGTGTGAATAAAAAAGAATTAAGAAACCACTGTTGCGAAGAGGGGCAAACCAGGAAATTCAGGATTTCAAATCACTATTGTATCTTCTCATTCACGTCTGGCAAGTCTTGAAAACGGGCGTCTATTTTTGAGCGTTTGAAACATGTCGACTGTTATTTCCATTTTTTATATTTTAAAAGCGAACGAAGTTTTTAATAAAGTAATAAGCTTATGATTTACTGATTCATTTAATATCTGATTAGTGATTCAGATAGTGATTAAAATGGATACATATTTATTATTTTAATTGGTGAGTAATTTAGTATGGGGGATTGTTAGTGAAAAAGTTATCTAATTTTTTAATTAGAGAGGTTATTATATAGATTACAGATTTATATAGATTAGATATTAATATAGATCCATTATATAAATAGACAGCTGTCTAAATTATTGTTCTTTACTTTCAAAAAAATTCTTTTGAAGTCTACTTTTAAAATGGTATTAACATTGTATTTGCTACTTTAACTACAAAAAATCTCAGTCAGAAAACAGGGCCAACAGCAACTGTTTTATATACTGCTCATAAAAAACTCATAAGAAATATGAAACATGTAGTAATATGTAAAGATGGATGGATAAATGTAGTTTTATAGATAATAGTATAGGTTAATATAGTTACATATGGATGTTCAGTATGCACTTCATAGTTATGTTTTGTTTTTCTTCATTTTAGGGCGTCTATGTTTTGGTTGGGTGACTGACAATAAATATCTTCCCAAGCAAACTTTCATGATGGCAGTCCACATTTTTGAAGGAGTATTTTTGATACTGTTTCCTTTGGCCAATTCTTTCGCCTTTTACGTGACAATTTTGTTCTTTTTCGGAATGATGCAGGGAAGTAGTATGATTTTGTTCTCTGTTTTGTTGTATNATATGAAGAATAAGAAGAACTTCAAGATCAATTTTGTGAACAAAACTTTATTTGAACTTATCCTTATTTACGTTATAAAGAGAGAAAACCATGAAATCTCACATGTTTAGCCCGATGGAAAGGAGACTTTATCCTATAAGGATATTTTACTTCAGCAACAAATGAATTTCGTTCTAAAATTTATATATTCAAAGGAGATGCAGTTACATAAACAGTAAATTATTCTGATCTTTTTGTCCTACCTGGTAATGATAAAGAACCTTTTGGAAAATAAAGCTTTCCTTGAATTTCTGCTAATTGATATTGCTTACTATTTTAACAACTATTTTAACATCTACCCAGTACTACTATATGCAAAACTATTTTAACATCTACCCAACCAAATTAAATCCTTGTCATGAGCTTGAAAAAGTAGAATGAGGAGCACATTACGAATGATAACGTATTAAAATAAAATTCTAAGAACAAATTCTAATGCTTTTTTACTCTCTTTTTATAGGTCATTATAGAGATTACTTGGGGTCTTACGATCAAATGTTTCATCTTCTTGGAGGGCTTACTTTGGTTACTGGAATACTGTATGAAGTAGTGCCTATGATTATGAAATGTTATGATAAAAAAATAACAATAGTGGTTAATGAAACTTAGTGACATCTGGAGCATGAATTTGAGAAAAAACAATGTGACGTGATTGTTTTAGCATAAATAATGGTGGCAAAAATTGTAAACAAATAATGAACAAAAATTGTTCCTCTTTCAGATTTAAGAAAGTGAAAAAGACTTATCATTCCAATTTTTACATATTTGGTTGCAGTTCAACAGTGAAAAATTCTTAAAAATGACGCTTAAATATTTTAAACCAATCTATCTACTCATTTATTGTCATATTGATATACTTTTCCCTTGTGATGTATTTCACATTTGATAATTAGACTACATATATTTTGCTGGTCAAAATATTTTCTTCGTTGCTTCAAGAATTTGTACAATTTCTAAACATGCTAAGATTTTATGATAATCATAATATATAAAGATTATACATGTTTGGCTATTAGCATACCGTGTTTGTCTCAATTTCGAACATTAACTAGCAAAAATGTTTTTTTTAACCTCCAAATATGCTGAATATGATCATTTTAATTTTATAACATTATAAGGCTATTGAAACATTTTTTACTTTTTGTATGTTTTAACGAGATAAAAATTATTCCATTAAAAAAATTTTTAATTTCGCAACTCTACTTCTGAAAGCTTAACAAATAAAATTTTAAAACTTGCTAACTATCAATCAGTAACTTTATATAAACAATTTTAGCCACGACTGCAACAAAAATAAAAGAAACAAAGTTTGTTATACACCTTTTTTTGATGTGGTTGTTCTGCTTTTGCATCGCAGATATGTTATGTTTGACATACTTTTTTATTTCTTCCTCCCTTAAATATTAATTCTCGACTTCAAATGTGCTCCTTCATGGACAGGGACTCTAAAAATAAACATTAAGTGTGGTGATTAAGGAATACCATGTATAATACTGAAAAACCGATTTTCCACAAAAAAANCAACACAGTGAGACTCTGCCTCAAAAAAAAAAAAAAAAAAAAAAAAAAAAAAATATGGATAACGTCACTCCATTATTCAATTATTTTAGTGTTGTTGATCGTAGGCTCTGTTTTTGTAGAAATCAAATTTGTCATAAAAACGAATGCCGCATTAAAAAAAGAAAAGAAAATCTAATGAAGGGTCAATTATCAATATCTTAAAATCACAATATCTTTATCAATATCTTTAATCTTTAACACATGAAACTTATATCCATGTATAAAATAAACTTGTCAACTTGTTAGTTCATTTCAGAGTATAATACTTTTGCGGATTTCGGAGGAAGATAAAAATGTGAAGAAACAGCGGGGATCACTTGCATCAATATTTTGCCACTCTTTTTACGGCCCCTCGAATCGAAGAATTGCTCTTTAGTCATAAAATTCTAATATTTAATGGGAAAAATAACAAAAAAAAACACTTATTTTTCTTTTTTTACTTGATAAAAAGTTAAAAACCATAACTAGTAAATAAGGATGAATGAATTTTTATTTTTCATAAGTCCCACTAGATGGCGAACAAACTTGTCCCAGGCTTACTTTTAATAATTTTATGGAAAGCCAATGAGAATTAAAATTTTTGTCACGTGGCTCACTTTTTATCCATCTAAGTTGCAAGCTAAAATTATTGTAAAACAAGTGTTTTAATATGGTTATAATAGCCTTTCTTTTGTTTGTTGTTGTATGAGTAACTTTTTCTTGCTTGTCTTCTGAAATTGACAATTAATGCTCCATATTTTCCCATTCTTGTAAGTAATGATTATAAATTGATAATATTAACATTCTTTACATAATTTTCCTTCAAAAAGGGTGTTCCTCATATTCACTTTCCTCATATATATTGTTGTTTTAAATTGCAATAACCCTTTAAATGCATAATCAGTGTCACTTTTGTCCTAACAATACTTTAAAAAAAATAATAGAATTTACCATATAATTAGGTAAATAAGTAGCAACTTCAATTCGAACTTGTTAAACTGACTATATTCTCAAGCTTCATAATGTTTTTAAAGCAACTAAAAAAGATCACTATGTTAGAGACTAGACTAGTTTGAATATATATGATTCAATATATTACTATTTCAATATATGATTGAAAATCGCAAGGTTTGTGTTTCTTCTGGTTGCTTTTTCATGTCAAAGCATTTGTTATTTTTTAGTTTTCTCTTTTGAAATAAATAAGAACTTGGTTGATAATATAAATAGGGGACCATCCACTAATGTCACGCCTGAAAGGGGATCAGAAACTGTAAGGAGGAAGGAGGTATCAAGAAATGGGACAACACAGATTTTGATTAAAATAAAATAATTTAAATTCATAAATTATTTTAATATTTTGTCATCAAATTAATGTAATGGCATTCCATCATTTGTTATGCTCATAAATCTCATTAAAACAATTAAAGCATTAAAATTTAATTGCACCTCCTTTTATGTATATATTACAGCTTAAAACTGTTCTGTTTTTTTACTATAACACTTCCCAAAAGATTGTAATAGCTCAAAAAACTTAACATAATTGGTGATTGTAATTTTCACCCATAATTTATGAGACATTGTTTTAAATATAGTTTCTGCAAGGAAGCTTATGCAAAAATTATAACATTGTTTAAATTTCTAGAATTTTATTTATTTCAGTTTTCTAGATTAAAGTTGTTAAAATGGTTATAATTTTTTTTAAATCTATCAGCAAAAAGAACTTGCAATCATAATATGATAATTTGAAGCAAAATATAGTGCAAATAGGTGTTTTATTCTTTAAATACTCTGCAAAAAGTTTAGATACTGTTAAGACTCACTTAATACAAGTAATGAGTATTTAACAATTAAAGAGTATTTTGTTTAGTAGGCTGTTATAGATATATATTAGAGTAATTTTGAAAATTTAGAAAAGCAATTATTTTAGATTTCCAAAGGACATTTTTGACTAAGATACAAGAACTTTTTACTTAAAGTGAATGTATTTTAGCATTTTAAAAGAAATAAAATTTGTTGTTCAAAGTTTTTGCGACTCTGTTAACTAGGTAATCTTACTTTAATATTCTATTGATAAGTAATGTCTTGTCTTATTACTTTTAACTATCTCGGTCTTTTGTCCTGTTCAGTCAAAAGACAAATTTCCAAAAAATACTTTTGTTTATTATGTTTTAAATTATATTAAATAAAAATCATATTTTATATTTTAACCTAAAAATATATGTTTGCGTATAGCATGATATTATTTTGAGAGAATTATTCGTAGATATATATATAGCCATAGAACATGTGAATAAAACTACTAAATTTGCCATGTTTAGTTTTTGATATACATTTATATGAAAGAACAATTTATTAATTCTTCAGCTTAGTTAAAATTAAGTAAACCTGAAAATCCTTGAAAAATGCCAAGAAAGCTGTGTGGTAGTCACGGAACTGACATCACGTAGATCCTGGGTTTGAATCCTGGACGAGGCGCATGGATGTTCTTTCATTCTCTGTACTATCTGTCCTTACTGTGGGAGCAACGTTGCCCCACCTAATATGGTGCCTCTGAAAGAGTAGCCAACAAATGTGCCCTACTGATACTTAAATGATGAGTGTCAACCCTGTGAGCATTGGGGGTAGGAAAAAAAAACATTATTTTCTTTTGATTGTATTTGCTATTTCCTAATGGAAAGTTTTTTCCCTACACTGGAAGATTTTCAAGTGTTCATTTTTGTTCGGTATATGATATGTACACAACCTAAAGTCAACAAAAAATCTTCAGTGTGTTTAAATAATCAAAAACTTCTTGAGCTTATATTATGTATGAAATGCTGTATCAAAGTTGGGGTAAGAAGAAAGTATCTGTCATAAAACCTAACCCTTTTCTGACTTAAAATTGATTTACTATTATCAGCACACCAGTTGAAATCAATGATGTATAGCGGCTTCAATTTAACTTATTTAAGGAGTTATTTTTAGATGTGGTTTGGATTTAGCACCATTTGCTTATATCTTGTAATTTTCTGAAAAGTTTTTGAGGCAGTTGAAGTTGTTAAAAATATAGCAGTCGGGAACATTTCTGATTATTTCCTAGACTTCAATAAAGTTTCCATGAGTTCTGCATTAATAAAAAAAATTAAATTTTTTTTCAAATTATTTCTTATAATTTAAATTAAATTTTTCCAGCATAAATGGGTAAAAGAAGACTTTTTTTGCATTTAAAGTCTCTTTTCTTTCTTTTTAGATTAGAATCAAGAATCAATGAATATTCTGATGCATTCAACATAATCTAACAACAAAACTTGTGAAGTTACACATGTAAACCAACTTCATCGAATTCAGTTGGGAAGAATATAAATTAATCATTTATCATACCTTTATTTCATTACTTCAATATTAACTTTATAACTGATGCATGGTCTCAAAAGAGTTCCCTATGAACTAAAGCAATATTTCAAAACTTATCTGTATCATATATGATAAATTTTTGACTTCTAGAAATCTGGAGTGAAATGTAATGAACTCGATTAAACAAATCATTTGAGACTTAATATCTTAAGAACCCAAAATGAAGATACTTTAATTATAATTTAGTTTAGGAGAATTCTATCTTTCATATTAATCTGGAAATGAAGTTTTAAACCTGAATCAACTTTCTCCTAGGGCACCTGAAGAAATTATTTGAACTTTATATGCATTTGAAATTTTAGACTATATTTTTACAAAGATATTCATTAAAATCCTAGAAGTTTTTATTTTATATTTGTGAAAAATTTGAATTTTATTTTTCATCATATTCAACTAATTGGTGTTTTCATAAATGAGACTGGATATGCTCAAAACAAAACAGAAATAAAAAACAGAATCACCGATATGTCCGTAGATTTAACAAATGTATCAAATTCTCTTGCGCATAATAAAAGGCCTTATTCCTGCCAAATATGTAATAAAACTTTTACTCAAAAGGGGCACCTAAAGCAACATACTCTAACTATTCATGCTAAAGTGAAACCTTTTTCTTGTGACGTATGTAATAAGAGTTTTGCGCGTAAAGACAATTTAGCCGTTCACCGTTTTGTTCATACAAATGATAAACCATTCTCCTGTAATATATGTGCACGAATCTTTTCACAAAAAAGTGCTCTAATTAAGCACTGTCTTATTCATTCCAAAGGTAAACCTTACTCGTGTAGTTTGTGTGGTAAAACATTTACTCGAATTGGAAGTTTAAAGGATCATGCTTTTATTCATACCAATGAAAAGCTTTTCTCCTGTGATGTTTGTCATAAGAGTTTTACACAAGAAAGATATATGAAAGAGCATTATGCCATTCACACTAACGAAAAGTCTTATTTTTGTATGTATTGTGATAAAAGTTTTATCCGAAGAGCAGACTTGAAAAAACATTGTATTGTTCACACGGGGGAGAGACCTTATTCCTGTAGCATATGTAATAAGAAGTTCTCTCAAAGAAGTTCCGTAAATACTCATGCCCTTGTTCATTCAAAGGAAACTCCTTTTTCGTGTAATTTGTGTAATAAGCAATTTACACAAAGAAGTAATTTAAAAAGACATCTGCGTGTTCAGCATTCTAGTGAAGAAAATCCTCCAACTTGTGTATCTGAAAAAGTTGATTTAGTTACTGATGATAATGCTGATATATAATAAGAAATTCTCTCAGGGAAGTTCTTTAAATACTCATGTTTTTGTTCATTAAAAAGAAATGCCTATTTCGTGTAATTTGTGTAATAAACAACTCAAAAAGACATCTGGATGTTCAACATTCTGGTTGAGGAAGTCCTCTAACTTGTAGTAGTGTGTCTGAAAAAGTTGCTTTGGTTATTGATGATGCTCTTGATGATCAAAAGAAGTTTATATACCCTCCTTGCTAACTAATAAAAAAATTTTTTTTTGTTAACAGAAGGGAAAAACCTTATTCTTGTAGCATATGTATTAAGAAGTTCCATCAATACTTGTGCGCCGCTGTTCATTCAAAAAAATCGCCTTTTTCATGAAAAATTTTACACAAAGAAACAATTTAAAATGACATCCAATTGTTTAACATTCTGATTAAGAAAGTGATCCATCTTGTAGTAGTGTATCTAAAAAAATTGTTTCAGTTACTGGAGATGCTCTTGATGATAAAAAAAAATATTAATATACTTTGATAATAACTCTGAATAAAAAAAGTTAAAGAAAAGAAACATATAATTTGTGTTTTGTGTAGCAAAATGTTTTAGCAGAAAAGTTGTTATTTGAAAGGAAATATCTTAGTCACCCTACATATAAATATTTGCATATATTTAATCAAAAAGGTTGCTATTTAAAAAAGAAACATCTTAGTCACTCCACATATGAGTATTTTCAAATATTTATGCAAAAAGACTACCATTTAAAAGGAACCATCTTAGCCATCCCACATATGAATATTTGAAATGTATGCGGTATAATTTTCATTAAGCAATTTATTTATTTTTTCAGATTTGTGTACTTTAATAAAGTTTAGCATATTTCTTTCACTGCAAAGAAGAAAAAAAACTGTTATTTATGAGAGAAAAAAAAAGAACACTATTTTTCCCTGTGCACAAGAAAAATTATTTTATTAAAACTGACTTATTTATGAAATAACTCCTTTTATAATGTGTAGATTACAATAAATGTTACAGATCACTTCATAGGTGTTGCTATTTACTGTCCTAAAAAAGGTTTTTTCTATTTATTAATTTACTTTTTTTTTTATTGTGTCTTGCGCATTTTCTCATTCGATTCTGAATTTATTTTCCCGGCAATCTGAATTCTGAGGAAGAAATCTTTACAATTGATTTTTATTAAATTATACTTTTTCAATTTGCGATTATAAATATTTTGCTGGAGTTAATTTTAGATTTAAAAAATTATTTTTAATGAAATGGCTCATGTCATTTTATACCAATACATTCTAAGTTACGCAAAAGATAAAAAATTTATTACAAATTCCTTAGTGTAAATATGAAATATATTAAAAAATTTCTTGTTTGTAAATCAAATCTTTTTATGTGTGTACAGAGAATCATTTGTTTAAAAAAAATTTTAATTTCAACCTTTTGAACAGGTTTAGAAAAGAAATTAATTTAGTATTATTTTAGTTAAAGTCCTATTTTGATTGTAGGATTTTTTATATATTAGTATTTATCATTACTTTGACATGATAAAAGTATCCGTAGGTTTTAAATGAAGTTACTTTTACCAAGAAAAACAAAAATTAATTAGTTTTAAACTTTAAATTATTTCCAAACATTTTATTTTTTTAGAACACTTTGAGATATGTTCAATTTATATGAGATGAAATGATAGAAAACGTTGATGTTTTACTTTTTATTTGTTTTCATGCTTATTAAAGCTATACTAAGTATTCTGTTATGATCGTTTGCTCTATATATATATCTATATATTTTAGAATCATTACCAAAGCTGAAGTCATAAAACTCAGTACATTAGTGGTTACCATTTAATATTTATCTGTGAAAGAACAATTAAAATCATCTAAAACCAGTTTATTTGAGGGTAAAGCTAAAAGCGGTTTCTGTTCTAGTCTCATTTGGCAAATAAACTAGTTTTAGATTATTTTTAATAAATTAATTGCTTTTCGCGTACTTTAGGAATGATTAGTCATAGCTTGAAAACATTTTTCTTACCTCTTAACTTGAGTCTCCTTATGCGCTAACTGTTTTTAATTCAATTTCTAACAAGGATTCTGAAAATATGCATCACGACTTCCACTGAGGTCTAATTATTATTCATAATAATTCTTTGGTTAGTCTAGCAATTCATTGCATTATAATTCATTTATGATTTTTATCCAGAATTCAAACAAGACAGCGCTCCTCAAACTTTGCCTGGTATAAACTCTGATAACATAGGGTCTTTCCCGAAACCCCCTGTGATTTTTAAAATCCTTATTAAAAATAAAAATAAAAAAAATCTATACGCATTGGGGGAATCGCAAATTCATTGTTGAAATCTATACATGCAAATTAATATTTAAGTGAAGAATAAACAGAAATGCTTTCGAAATCTATCAAATCACTGTAATAAAAGGCTGGTGTAATAAACATCAAAACAGGTTTAATTGGAGATCAAAACTTGAAATTTCTAAGAATTGTTTTTCAACTATTCTCTGATTTCTCATACAATCAAACCTGTCTTGTCTATTGCATGCACCTTCATGTTTTGTGATTTGTCCAATTTCGATTACGTATATGTTTTTTTTCCTCAATAAATAGGAATTTGAGACCCCCATATCTATGTATATATTTTTTTCCCTTAAGAGAATTCAGAGAAGAATAAGAATTCTAAAACTACATATTTACGGAAGCACTTTATATATTATCTATACTTTGTTTTTTTAAATGACCTTTTGTGCTACTTTGAATGTCAGAAGATTTTATTTAGGCTACTATTATTAAATTTTTGAGGATATTATTTAGACTACTATTTTTAAGCTTGAAGGGCTACTAATTCAACTATTTTTGAAAGCTAACTTTAGTGAAAATTTTGCTGTAATTTAGCACATTTTTAATTAGAGGCAAATTCTTTGATGTCAAGGAGAGATGTTTGACCTAGATGTTACTATTTTTAAATATGAGATTTATGATATAAATTTATTTGTACCTATATGGGTTTTAATATCAGATCCGGATCTTCCATTAGGCGAACTCAGGCAACTGCCTGAGTGTGCCAGTGAAAAAAAGGCAGAAAATTCAAATTTATGATTTACTTAATGTTTTTTTTAATGATTTTGTAAATTTCTTTTCAAAGGTTACAATAAACTCATATTTTTGTGTCAAATCCCCTTACAGGGTTTATTTTTGCGTAAAAATATATGATCTTTGCATTTATTTAGACGCATCGAAAATGGCTATCTGGAACCAGATAAATATTTATCCATTTTCACCTTTAACTATTATAAAGAGTTTTAAAGAATCTTTTCCTCTTATTTCTTTGATTAAATTCTCTTTCTTAATTCATTATTTAGACTAATGAATCTCATTCACATAATTAAAAAATTCAAAGTTATGTTTAAAAAATGCAGATATTAACAATTTGCCCTTAAGAAAGTGTGAGAACTCGTTAAGTCCGCCGACCTTATTTGTAGACCGATTGCAGTCAATAATGTTTTCCTTTTGGCACGTGTCTTGAGAGATCGGGAAACTTAAAAGTTGAAGCACATCGAAATCAGCGTGATTTCATGTTCTCTCTGCAGCGAAAAATGATAAAATAAAAATATTTCTTTGTTATCCAATTTTTCCGCTTAGTTAAATAGGCTATAAATTATTTACATCGCAGATGAGTTTTGTAGCCATCAGAAATCATATTTTTGTCTCATTCATCATTTGTCCTACGTTTCATCGGAAATTTCACAAGTCCTACGGGCTTTTTCGTTCAGCAAATACGCTTGGTCATTTTGTCCCCCCATGAATTCTTCAGTCAGGCATTTTTGTTTTGATGGATGGTTTTGCAGGCTGCAATTCACTCATATCTGAAATCTGTGGCGCTTTTTATTCTTTCTACTACTGCATTTTACTATCCTGGACCTCGCGTTTTAATATTCTGGCCCGCTTATAATAATGCAGTCTTGAACCACTAGGCATAAATGCAAATATGGGGTAAAAAGAAGATATATATATCAGGGATGAGATTTTTTAGCTGTTTTTCACTTTTAGTCTCTCGAATTTCAGTCTTTTTATGAAAAACTCCAATTCTCTAAAAGTTTCGGGTCTTTTTTTTTTTTTGTAAATATTCTGTTTTTTTTTTTAAAAAAAATGCAGTCGTTTAAATAAAGTAATTATATTTATTTTCAAAGATAACAAGAAAATTCTAACTACTTCGTAGCTGCTAACCCTTCCGCATTTTTACTCATTTCAGCTATTTTCTCCGCTTTTACAGGCAGAAAATAAGATCTTCTGTAATTTTACCCGCCAGACAGATAGTAGTTCAGATGTCGCTGCTTCCTATTCACGCGATCTAAAAATTATGCATCATGCTTTGTATTTTCGCCTTTTTTTAATTTGATATAGAGTTTCATGTTTACGTGATTTAAAAGCCACATTTCGGGATTCATATTCTCTCATTTTGAAATCAAATGTTGCAATACTCATTCACGCAATTTTAAAATCAAGCATGTGATTCATATTCATACAATTTTAAAATTAATCATTGGGATTTATAATCACGTGGTTTAAAAATCCCACTTTTTTTGTCAAATTTTTGGATATCATAGCTTCTACATATTCATGCCTGACTGCCGAAGAGAATTCTAACCATTGTGCCGTATGCAATAAGAGTTCGGCAACACTGTATTAACTTACACCTATAAGAAACACCTATATTAACTTACCGCGAGTATTCTAAAAATATGTTTTAAAGTTGAATATTAATAAACAACCTGTATATTTATTTGTTAATGTAGCTTATTTTATTTCTTTTCAGGTCATAACAAGATTCCCAATTTACTCAAGAGGGAAACTTATTCTTACGTCATTTATAATAACAATTTGTTTACAAATGAATAAATTGGAAGGAACTTCTAAAGATAAGCCTTATACGTGTGAAATATGTTACAACAGTTTTGCACAAATAAGTACATTAAATTCCCACAGACATGTTCATACTGGGGAAAAACCTTATACTTGTGAAATATGTGGCAGGAGTTTTGCACAAATAAGTACATTAACTTCCCACAGACTTATTCATACTGGGGGAAAACCTTATTCGTGTGAAATATGTAATAAGAGTTTTGCACAAATAAGTACATTAACTTCCCACAGATACGTTCATACCGGGAAAAAACCTTATTCTTGTGAAATGTGTAATAAGAGTTTTGCACAATTAAGTACATTAACTGCCCACAGACTTGTTCATACTGGGGAAAAACCTTTTTCTTGTGAAATATGTAATAAGAGTTTTACACGGAAAGGTGCATTAACTTATCACAGACGGATTCACTGTGATGAAAAACATCTTTCTTGTGAATTATGTAAAAAGAAATTTACACGAAAAAGTTATTTAATGTCTCACAGATGCGTTTATTTTGCCGAAAAATCATTTACTTGTCGGATGTGTAGCAAAAGTTTTACGAGTAAAAGTTTATTAATTTCTCACAGATGCATTCATTTTGACTCTGTGGAAAAACATTTTTCTTGTGAATTATGTAGCAAAAGGTTTTTACTAAAGTCTAGCTTAATTAGACATTTGTCTACTCATACTGGAGAAAGACCTTTTTCTTGTGATATATGTAGTAAAAGATTTATACAAAAGTATTGCTTAATTAGACATTTGTCTGTTCATACTGGAGAAAAACCTTATACTTGTGTCTTATGTAAAAAGAGTTTTGCTCAAAACTCTGCATTAATTTCTCACAGCTTTGTTCATACTGAAGAAAGACCTTATTCTTGTGAAATATGTAATAAGAGCTTTAAACAAAAGTTCAGATTGATTCGTCATAAACGTGTTCATATTTAAGAAAAGTCTTCTCTTTTTTTGTTAAATATGTAGTAAAGGGTTTATACAGAAGTCTAACTTAATTATACATTTGTCTATTGATACTGGAAAAAAAACTTGTGAAATATGTATGCATTTTACATAAATCTAACTTAATTAGACATTTGCATGTTCATAATGGAGAAAAACTTTAAAG